GAAGTTGCAAAAGAAATGTAGTGCTACACTTGTGGTTAGACCGCAGTTACTCACCAAGTGTTATTGATCTGTCCTGAAAGAGGCAGCAGTGTGAGTGGAGAAGATTTTGAATTATTGCTTATGTGAAACGGTGATATAGAGAGAAGATAGGATTGAGATCTAGTATTGCAGTTTGCTATCATTATTTGTTTACATGATGACACACAAAATGTTATATGACGACAAAAATTATGCTTATCTTCCTTAGCTCGTTTACCTTACATTGCATTCTTTCTAAGTTGACATGTAATGTGTAATTTTGCATTTTCTTTTTTTGAACTTGGCAGTGTAAAAATAGGAGTAAGTTATACAGCCTGACTTGTCTGAAACTAAGACTGTTTTAGAGAATCTTCTAGAGATATAAGAAAAAAGTAGCATACACCATTGAAGTAGCCTACTTTGTTTAGTATGAGAAGTCAAAGGTGGTGAAGAGTTAATTTATAACTAGATGAACATAGGTTCAACATCAAGTTGGCTTGGTCAAATCAAAGCCACCTTTAGGGAGGGTGGCTAATTAATAAGCTATCTAAGTTAAGATTATTTTCAGTGCATACCTACAACTGATCATTGAAATGCCTCTTGTAAATAAAGATTACTAGTATTTTAATAATGATCTTTATTCAGTGGGGAATTCGTAGGGGCCTATAGGCCTTCAGAGATGGACTAGTAATTTCTAGCAACTACAAAAATACATGTTTGTAATTTATATTCATTTTTATTATAATGGAAAGTCATGCTTGTTGTATTTAAACCTTGCAGGTAATGTAGTAATACTCTTTTTTCATTACTTCATTGTTCATTTAAAAACAAAATAGTTAAAATCTTAAAAGGCCAATGGAAAATTCCAAACAGAATTTTGTCCAATTATATGGTCTCCTGGTAGATTTAGCCAAATAAGCTCTCTCAATGGTTAAGCCTTCAGCAAGTTAGGTTAACTACCATCACAATTAGGACTTGACAGGCCATGAATCGACCAATTAGATTTTGATTCACAATGTGTGGAACCAAATATGTGAGATGAAAACATCACGCTATGCCCTCTGGAAGTCCTAGATACATCGCTGACTGCGAATGTGAGAGATAGCATATCCAGGTTTCAGTCAGTTGTTAGAAATGAAACAGCTGCAGTTCTATGACAGAGCATTTACTGAACAAGCCACTGTAGAACTGCTACATACAAGGTCAAATATATGTTAAACTTCAAATAATACCTGAAATGTCTTTTACACACGACATATCCATGTTTAATCTAAAATAACCAAAAAGTGTTCTTGTTCACCAGCATTAGCTTAGTGCTAACATGCTATTAGAAATCACATAAGGGTGCTAAAAAAGATTTGCGTTGTCGTAGAGGTGTTTTTTCTGTTTTTCACAGACATTTGTGGCCCAAACAGAAGATACAATTGCCACTGCCTTTTTTAAATTGCTAACTATTAGCAATATCCAGGTAAGTTATTATTTTATGTGATTTAAAAGTAATCACATTACCTGTAAGTTAAAGGTAACTAAAATTAATATTACTATGTCAAAATTAAAAATGTAAAAAACTTGGGCTGAGAAGAAGATGAGTGCACTGCAAAAAAGTAAGAGATGTATCCTATTATCAGAACAGTTGTTTTGTGTGCTACATGGTTTGGTTCTCAAGGAATGTTGCTGGCTTTGGAAGAACGTGTTATTAGGGGTCTGTTACCTGTGGAGAGTTTAACTGATTGGGTACACAGTGTGTTGTAAAGTCAAGTGATTAACATTATCTATTATTTTACCTTGCCTTCTATAATAAGGGAACTCATTCTCAACTGAAGGCCTCTCTCAACTTTTATAGGGCTCTTGTAAGAACTGTCACATCAGCTGGTAGACTATAGTGTCTTGGTGCCTCTGCAAAAGGAAATTAGTCATTAGCTGTTTGAATACACAGGTATGCATGGTTGAATTACATCAAGGGGCTGTGAGGTAATTCTGAGAAACAGTTTTATGACTCCTTGTATTTAGCTATGCATAAACATGCAACCTGGTTTACCGGTAAGAGTACTGGTCTTAGCATTATCAAGCCAAATCAGGGAACAATGGTGGCAGGAAATTGTTCCAGTGTTGTTTTCCTTGCAAATCATTTATAATCTTTTGAGTTAAAAGAGACAGAAGGCAGCAAAATTAATTTTAAGTTTGTTTTTATAGGAAGTATAAATACACGGATGCTGATTAGCTTAAATATTTAATAGAAGTGTTTATTTTTGTGTATGTGTATGTGGTTGGGGGCTTTTCATAATTACAGAGATTTATAAAGGTCTAAATTTAGGATTCAGCTTAAGCTTCTGTTATGACTGTGTCTATGTAGGCCCTGCTTATTGTTTCTGCACTTGCTGGATGATGCAACAGTGAATGTGGTTGAGTACTCCAAGCTAACGTTTGCTTTAGATGCTTAAATAGTATTCAGCACATTATGCTCATACATTGGCTGTTTTTAAAATGTAATAAAAATTCGCTTCAGTGATATCAATTGTACAAACAATTTGGCTCGCTGTAAATAAAACCTCCAGTCGGGCGGTCTGCTCATTTCTTTATTTGTGACCTGTGGCTGAGCCAAATACCTTTTGTGTGTTTGAGCCCAATCTCAATGTGACCGCGGCTCGTTGTACACTGATTGATGGCTTCAGTGTGCTGCTAATTATTAGAGCACATAAAAGAATGCTCGCTCCAGCAGGCCTCAGCTAGAGGTCAGAGCCTAAATGTGAGGCTATCAGCTTTGGCCTCTATCACTTCATCTTGATGTATGAGTGCAGGGGTACAAATTAAACGTGATCCAGCCTCTTAGAGGCTCCTTGCTCAACAGCGCGCCATTTGGGCTAATTTCTCCTCGTGATTAAGACAATAAGAGCACTATGTAGAATGCCGTAATTGCACCGTGTACAGACATCTGGATTTGGGTTTCCAAATGCAACTAGCAAACAAAAGAGGACCTGCTCATTTAAAGTTTTATACAGAGTTAATGCAGGGGCAGGTAGAGTAGCTCTGACATTGGGCTGTAGTGTTCACACTTTTCTAAGCAGATTAAGAAATAACAAGAAGTAGCAAAGTGGAGGACAGGTAAAGACCCAAATATGCTACAGTCTACAGATGGTGAAGGTACATAAAATGATAATCCAACCAGTGTTGCATGGGAAAATGCTTAATTCTTTAGTGAATACTCTTTTATCTCCAGTGCAGTGGTGCTTTGTTCGCAAATAGTAATCAGCAAGAAGAAATGTTGCTCTTAAGAGTGCATGTGTCTTACAGTCTGATTCATTTGTTTATAAACTTATAAGCATATCTGAACATTTCTTTAAAATAATAACATTTAGCGTGGACCCAGAGCGTAAGTGGCTCTTTCTGAAATTGCAGACTTTTGTGAAACAGAGAAACCTTTATTCGTAAAATTTCAGCGGGTCATAAAACATTATAAACCCTATTACAAATATTTATAACTTTTATTGATAGTTAACTTGTACAAGATGTACATTCTTTTTTTGTGAAACAACAGAAAAAAAATACAAACTCAATGGCGAATCATGTTTGGGCATGCTTGCATATGAAATGTCAATTAGAAAGGGATACAGCGAATTCCATGGATCATCAAGAAAATTTCAACACAAAGTTTTATGATTTTTTTTTTTTCCACCGTCCCTGAAATGTTTGTAAACTCGGACACGCTACATTTTTAGTCAAACAAAATGTTCTGCAGTCACACATTCACTTCAAACTGCTGCAAATGTTAGCATTTAGAAAGTATATAAAAATAAATGCAAAGCCATGTAAAAATGTACACTTGAAATCAGACCATTCAACATTTATAAACTTTTAGATAAAATAATAAATAAAAGCACCTATGACCTCAATTAAACAAACGGAAAACATTCCTAAAAACCCTAATGGCAGCGAACAACAGAAAAAAAAAACGTCCCACAATGTATAATTTACTGTTAGAGGTAGACCTAACTAGGATCTACTAGTTCAAAGGCAATTAATATTGAAACTGACAGCAATCTGTTACAAACAACAGGCTTGCAAACAATACAGTTCTTCCTCCTTGTACTTAAAACAGGTAATTCAATTTCTCTTGTTGATAGAAGCTAATGGCTACTATTTGTGTTCATTTGGGGGAAAAATGCACAATACCATGTTCAAAACAATTTACAATTATACTGTAAATGATTCTGACACTTTAGATTCATTTGTGATGTTATATGTATTGTTCTGAAGGGGTAGTCTTTGGTGAACAGTTTAGCCAGAAGAATGATATGATCCCTGCCCCTAAAGCAACTGCTGTATATATTTGTACAGAATGGAATTAATTTGCTTTGTCTACCTTGATGCCTCTTAAAATGTACATATACAAAACTGTGTTCGAGTACCATCACATATGGGGAGTTATGGCACACAAGTGCAAATGAGTTTTTTTCATTTACACAGCCTAGAAAAAAAATGTGTCTGTGGAGAAAAAAAAACTAAACTTGGAAAACATCAGTGTCAGTGCCAAAAAAATTGTTGGTTGTTGATTAGCAAACATCAACTATTTGTTTTTTTCTTCATATTTACAGTATTGCACTTAACTGCACATAGTTGCATTTCAGTTAAACTGATGTTTCCGTAATATTTTAAATTACAAAATTGCAGTTACCCTTTTGGAAAAAAAACGTCATTTCAATGTATTTTTGTGATGAGACCCCAATTAGTCAATATCTCACCCTCTTATATAGAAGTAGTATTTTCTTGCAGTAAGGATTGTAAACACCTTGATACAAGACCTGAAGTGCAAGAGCTAGTTTCACTTCTATTTCCAGGACACATCACAAAAGAAAAGACCAAGCAAAGGAATAAAAACAATCTGAAAGTGAAAGCGAAAGTCCTCCTGACTCATGCCCAGAGGAAATATACAGCAACATAGCATTTCCTCTGACCACCAAGAAACAAACAGGAGAAATTCTCTGAAAACTGATGATTGTACCCTTGTTGTAAATGCTGCTTTCCATCTGTGTCCAAGGTGCGAAAAATCAAAAACTATATATCGACTCTAGGTGCAGATTATAGTGGGAGGTTGTCATGGCAGTGATCAACATGGTGAATGTCAGTTACAATGGAGGCCAGCCCCGGTAGAGCTATCCTTCGTTTGAACGCATGCACTCGGCAGCGGCACAGACAAATGAACACAGTGGTTGGAGGCGAGTGTGGCTGTTTCTCGGTGAGGTTGAGAGTCCCAACTTTTGAGTGTCTGTCCGTTTAAAAAAAACAACCCCACTCTGAGAGCACTGTTCAACCTCTAGCCTTCCTCAGCCACTCTGAGTCTGCTCTTTTTTTCTTTTTTGCTAAAAGTCTCCGCTGCTAACCGCTGGTTTTCAGACAGACATCCAGACATTTTTGTACGGTCCTGGGGCTGTGATCTGTGCCTGGAAGGGGCTGAGCCAGTGGCCTCCAAGCAGTCCTGCCTGTTGGGCGAAAAGTAAAAGGTGATTTCATTGGTATTTAATTACCTTTCTCTATAAGTGGTTTGTTTTGGCAGCTGGTTTTTTGTGACAATTTCTTTTTTTTTACACCGTCTCTTTATCCCCCCCTTCTCTCTTTCTCTCATTCTCTCTCTCTCTCTCTCTCTCTCTCTCTCTCTTTTCTCAGTACATTCTCCTCTCTCTGTAGTTGTGTTTTGTTTTCGTTTTTAACTGTGAGTGTCGTGGCCTTTTTTCACAGGCGCAGTCTTGTGTGAGAAGCAATTATCAGTTCAGAGCTGTGGAGAAGCCCATGGGGGTCAGAGTCCCAGCGCCTCCGTGTGTTTTCTTGCCTTGAGTCGCAGGTCAGCGATGCTGGAGTTCTTGCTGTTGCTCTTGGCAGCCGCCGCCGCAGCCGCCGCCGCGGAGGCCGAGTCCGCCAGTGAGGCAATGGGCAGTCCAAAGGGCGGGGGAGGGAACATCAGGTAGGGAGCGTGTGCCGCCAGGTGGGGGTGCAGGTGAGGGTGCGAGTGGGTCACCCCCTCAAGCTGGAGCTGGGCCTGGACCTGCGGGCCGAGGAGAAAACAAACACGGCATTAGTGTGTGTGGCCCAACGGCCCGGCGGAGAGCCTGGGATCCTGTTACGGACTCGGACACTACACGTCCCCCTCTGCACTCCTCCAAAGGCTTCCACTAACTGCATGTTTTCACTGAAAATAGTCCAGTGCCGTCTCACTCAGTGCATTCTTTTTCATCCAAGCTTTTTTTTTTTCCTTTTTTTCTCACCGAGCTGAATTATGCAGTGTACTCAGACAGCTTAATAGTCAGAGAAATCCCATCAGTTGAAAGTCTTGGCACATTAGTCCGACCCACGTAGAAAACTTTCCTTCCACGGATGAAAAACCTGCAACATCTCGTAATCCTAATTATGGATTCAATTGCGTAAATAAACAATCTCACCCCCCAAAAATATGCTCAAATATACAGCCATAAATATTTATTCAGATGTATTCCTGAGCAAGAAGGGAAAAGAGGTAGAAACGGCCAGCGTGAAATATCGAGTTGCACATTCTCTGTAATTATTTTACTGAGATGAGGTGAAAATTATACATCCCCACTTAATTTGAAAAAAGCCGCACTCCTTTTTTTGCCCTTCCTCTCATGTAGCTTACTCTGCAGAAATATCACAAAAAAGTTTAGAGCTTTCTGTTTTCTTAGCCAACTAAAACACAACATGTGTCAAGCTGTATAGAAAGTGGAAAGTGCTTGGGGAGTGTTGCATTTTTTTTCTGTTTGTCATATAAGTGGGTCCTGAATAGCTTTCATGGCCAGCCTTTGAAAAGTGAAGCGGTCATATTTAAGTAGATTTTTGGAAAAATAACCTCACTTTCAAGGGAAAATTAAATGTGCATCAGCATGAAATGGTTGCAAGGCAGTTTGAAATAACCCAACACTTCAGCCTTTTAAATACACCTCACATACCGACTGACTGAGTGTGAAACAAAAGCTGCACCAAAGCACTGCAAGCACAGGTCAACACTGGACCATCAGAGCTACAGGTGATACACATTGTGCGGGGAAGCGCAAATCTGCGTAAAACTACTGCCCTACAGCGCAAATCTGCCGCCCTATGGCGTAAAACTGCTGCTCTAAAGCGCAAATCTGGCGCCCCATAGCGTAAAACTGTGCAAAAAAAGTAAAACAAATAAATGAAATAGGTGTCAACGCACACTCAAATAATATGCTGCACGGTTTTCTTACAGCTTCATCAGCACCTGCCCCCCCCAACACCCCACCACCACCAGATCAGATGTCCGTTTCGGTCTCTAATCTCTCCTTTCCTCGCATGGGGCCACGCCTCGGCCTCCGCACACCGCGGCCTGCTTTACGCTAAAGGCCAAGAGCGCTGCTCCTCCACTAACCCCATGTTTACCACACGGACATTTCAGGTTTCAAATATATGGAGCAATTGTTACCCTCAGTCAGCGACTATAAATGTAACAGCATAACTGCTGAAATCCAGCTGCTCCCTGCAGTGTGCCTTGTTTAAGGGACCTTCATTTTAAGCTTGAACTGTCCTACCTGTTGGAAGGGCATCCTCAGAGCGCCCATGTTCACGTACGGAGCGACTCTACACGCGTCCAGATGGCTGGCCGAGCCCAGGATCACCCCTAAAACAAACAAAAAAAACGAGTGAGTCCCAAGTGCAGCCCGCAATCCCACAGTTTAGCAGAGGAGTCTGCATGGATGCGTCCAAAACTACATATAATACAATATAGTACAATACTGTACAATACAATACTATTCAATATAATCATTTATTATACAATATAGTAAGACTGTATATATGTATACAGTCTTACAACAGTACAGTAAATTACTATAAACTACAATATAGTACTATACTATACGATGCAATACTAGACTTCACAAAACAATACAGTACAATAGGCTATAATACAGTATAGTATTGTACTATGTTATAACGGTACGTGCTAAACTAATGAATATACTGCTAGTTTTGTTGTACTACTCTGATATACTGTTTTACTATGGTAATACGGGGATTTGGTATTGTTCTCAAACTGATCAGTCAGACTCTCTCTGATCTCCCCCTCAGGCCTGTCCAAACAGGCCCGACACAGTCAGCACCACACGCATTTAATCAGAATTAAAAGTGAAAATATTCAGTCAATTTTACCTTTGTGCATCTGATTCTCCTGCTTTCTGCATTTTGCTCTTCTGTTCTGAAACCAAACCTGAAACAGAATGACAGCGAGCCCTTAGTCCACTTCCACCGGAAACTAGATTCTGTTCACTATCAGAGCTCAGATTCTGAACTCACAATAACGTCCTTCCTTATTCTGAACTAATTAAACATTACTGTGGATTCAGCATCGAAATAAAACAGTGCAGAGCAGAGATGCGGCCAGAAGAGTCATTATATGGGCTACATATTCATAAGCGTAGAACGTTTGGCAGATAAACGTGGGTGTATAAAAACAACAAAATAATATAAAATAAAATAAATCTTTCTGATAATTAGAAGTTTATTTATCAGACATAACTTTCCTCACAAAAGCTGGACTGGACTGGCTGGTTTCAAAATGCTGCCATACTGTCTTATAAATAAAATGATCACTTCTGAATTAAGAGTGCTCAGTAGTTCATCAGTGATATCAGATATGCAATAGTAAAGTATGTGTGTGTGTTATAAATCTGAGATTCGTGTCTCGACTGTAATTTTGCTCACAAACAATAATCACAGCAGTGCACGAGGAAACACACTGTGTGCGCGAGCGAGCGCGCGCGCGCGTTTGTGTGCGTGTGTGCGAGTGAGTGAGTGTGTGTATGGGAGTGTGTGACGTCGCTGTGAAGGGCTGGAGGTCCGATCATGGCGCTGTTAATGAAGAATGAACTCATTTCCATCAGTGAGCTTGATTAGCTGTGTGAGCCGCTCTGCTGCTCTCCTGCAGCGGTCAGGTGAGGCGCGGGGCAGACCAAAGGGCTCTGCCTAATAAACCTGCCTAATAACTTCATAAAGCTGCTCAACATGCAGAAGCAGCTGCAGCGTTTCCTCAGTGAAGTGTTCAGAGAGAGGAGCACTCACTCCCGCACCTGTGTGAGGTGTAGGGTCAGTTTACTGCCTCACTCTTTCACCACTCACTCACACCAACACGCTGACCAGCCGTTTGTCTGTGGATCACATACAGCGCCATTTACATCTCAGACACTCAGAGACTCTCCACCAGCTTCACTAGAGCTGCACAACAACCAGAGCAGTGCTGCACAGTGGAACATTATTATTATTATTATTATTTAGTAGTAGTATTTGAGCTGCGATTATTATTATCAGTTGTAGCAGTAATGTTATTTATTTGTGCTGTTATTATCATTATTATTGGTAGTAGTAGTATCAATAGTAGTGGTAGTGTTATTTGTGTGATTGTTATTTGCATTATTAATATTCGTTGTAGGAGTGGTAAGCAGTGTAAAACATAATAATATTGGTATCGTTGCATATTTTATTATTATTATTCTTATTATGGTATATAACGTTTTGATAGAACAATAAATTTTGCCTGTAACTCAACAACACTAATAATAATAATAATAATAATAATAATACAATCCTTGCGTCACCCAGTACAGCTCATTATTTTTATTAGTAATATAGTTTTTGTATTGCTAGATCACTACTGTGACATGTTATAACACCATTATTATTATTAATATGCCAGTATATTATATATTGTTATACCGTTATTATTACTGAGACTGAGATTACTGTCACTGTTGTAGCTATTAAAATAGTACATCATATTACTATTTTTCATTATTTTTCATCTTTAGTCATCATTTTTACTATTGTCACTAATATTTTCATTATTGTTATTATTATAATTATGATAGATGTTAGTGGTAGTAATGTTGTCCCTAAGATTATAGAAGTGTATAAAACACGTAGTTAAATACAACGGCAGTAATAGCGCTGCTTCTATTTGCTGTGGTTGTTGCAGTTGTAGTTAAGGTTATAGAAGTGTAAAAAAGAAACACGCTGCCTTTTGTGCTCCCACATATAAATCAAACATTTATCGGTGCGGGGTCGAGCCTAATGATCCATCAGTATGCTAAGCGAAGTGAGCTACACTGCTGTAGACAGTTATTTCTTCATTAAGCACCACTCAATGATGCATTTCACAAATACCCTAATCTGATTTCCTTTTGATTTTTATTAGAGACAGTGAATAATGACATTTAATTTAGCGCTGCACCAGAAACCCAGAGATATTAGTCGTAATTGAATTACTGCCTTCTCTTCACCAAGGTCTCATAACTTTCAATTAGATTCCTGACAGCTGCTCGGTGTGGCCTTTCTCTGTGAGGCTCCAGTAACAGGTTCATATCAGCCCTCCGCCTCGTGTCTTACCATCTCAACACCACACTTACACCTCTAATCACTTCTGGGCCCTTTATTGCTTTTACAGTGCAGCAGATCTGCGGGGCTCTGTGTGCTGCGCAGGCTTCAGCCTGAACATGTACGGAGGCGTTTCTGAAAGCGCTGCTGTGTCTCTGAGTCTGTAAACCGGATCTCTCTCCTAATGCTCGCTGTAAATGGTGGGGCTGAGAGGCTCAGAGCGGCGCTGCTCTGCTTCTCTCCACCGTGTAGAGCAGCTTCTGCGCCGCTCACTCGCTTCTAACGCACTAATACGGCGACACTACGTCAGGCCAATGGCAGATATTACAGAGATACCGGCGGAGAAAATGAGGTGAGTGACATGAGAAGGTGTCCCCTGCAGCGGCAGCTCCATCTCCCCATTCATTTTAATGACGGCCTTCAGATCTTTCCGCGACACATAAGCAAGTTTCCTCTCAATTTAGCAGCTGCTACAACTACAAGGGCTTTTCACATTTACACTGTCGAAACTCCAGCTCTGGTAAACCGCTGACGAGCTGGAGACTTTTATTTTATTTTATCTAATTTTATTTTATTTTATATTAATATTTATATTTATATAAATTTTATTTTAAATGCTATTGTTTTTTTCTGTAAATACGTATTTTATATACTTAACCTAAATAAAGCCAGTGTCGTGTATTATGCTGTAGTAATATATTTTTGTTTTTGTTTTCGGTGTGTAATTTATACGCGGTGTAAACACGGGATTTTTCAACTATTATCAGTATCATCAGATACTGCAGCCTGCTAATTATCATTATTATTATTATTATTATTATTATTATTATTATTATTATTTTAGTTTTGTTTGTCTATTTATATATAAACTCCTTTACTAAGCATTTAAGCCACTTCAGCAGTTCAGAGAAAGTCTACTTTTTATTTTTTAAATCAGAGTATCTGTTAACTTGGGCCGGACTTTATCAGCTGAAATAAAGGAGCACCAGTTTATTCATCCAGGCCAATATATCAGCAGTATATACACCACTGTACTTTTTTTTTCTAATATTGACGCCTTACTACAAGTTTAACGCGGATAGTAATAATAATAATAATAATAATAATAATAATAACGAGTTAGGTAGGTGGATGTGAAATGTATTATTATTATTATTATTATTATTATTATTATTATTATTAGTCCATGCTACAATACACACGTATTAAATGAGATCTTGTGTTGCTCCAATAGGCAAAATACGTAACTTAGCTGTGCATTAAAATGGGCTATTTAGATAAACAGATTAAAGACTATATTTGTGCTGCTATGGAGGTTTATTGGTGTTTTAGTGGTGAATACAGATAAATAAGAGCGCGGAAATAACTTCATCTTCTCATTTACGACCAAACGTGCTTAACGGCTCGCACTGTTCAGATCATCTGTGATTATAAGAGTTTACAGTGATGAATGTTCCTCTCTCTCTCTCTCTCTCTCTCTCTCTCTCTCTCTCTCTCTCTCTCTCCCTTCCTCTCTCTCTCTGTATGTTTGAGAGGAAACGGGCCCTCCGTGTGTGTGTTTGGTGTGTAAAATCAGCTCAGCTCTGCCCGCTCTGACTGTGTGAGTGACCGTGAGTGTGTTTGGCCCTCTGTAGCCCCTCACAGAGCAACGGTGTGTGTTGGGGGGGTGGACTGACCTGCACTCTGGCCTCAGACAGTCCCAGTCTCTGGCTCAGCTCTTCCCTCATGAACGCGTCCGGGTAGTGCGTCTCATCGAACAGCCGCTCCAGCTCGTTCAGCTGCTCCAGAGTAAAATTCGTCCTGCTCCGTCTCTGCTTCAGTTTCCCCTGCGCGTCCTCGTCCTCTGACTTCACATCCTCCTTCTTCTCTTTACATTCATAAATCCCTAAATCACAGCAAAGCGCCTCGTCACACACACAGGCACGGACCGGCGGCAGAGGAACGCACTGAGAAGCAGCTTCCCGCTTTAACATTAGCTTATAAGAGTCAACACATTACATCCCTAATGCATGTCTACATAAAGCCGTTACAGTGAAACATATGATCCATATACGGACTACTGTACAGTTAGATCATTAACATACACACAGGACTAGGCCACGGTTATTACGTATATATATAACAAAGTTGTTGCCTCTTTAAATTTTTACATGCAGTTTTTCTACTTTCTGCTCAAAAGCTAAAAGTGAATCTCGCATTTCTTTAAATCCGTGAAAAAGCATAAGCCAAGCAGCACGTGACCATCCTGTTCATTTGTAAACATTAATAGAGTTATAAGAAGAATTTACTGTTATGAAGATTGTAATCATGTAGATATAGAATCAGTAAGAGATTATAATGTCCTGAAGATGTTGTGTGTCTGTGTACAGTAATCAGTTCACTTAATACAGTGTCTTAGATTTAAAGCCACTGTTCATGAAAATGAACCTACAAATACAGAGAAGCTTAAAGCGAGATTTATTATGGTCCATATTTATAACAGAACAGTTTAATATATTTTTTTATTTATATCCTTTATTATCGTGCTACTACTACAATTACTGTAATAATGATAATAATAATAATAATAATAATAATAATAATAATGTGTTGTACTGGAATTAAATTATTATTATTATTATTATTATTATTATTATTATTACGACTACTAGCAGTAGTAGGCCTATTATTACTGTTACTATTACAAGTACGACTCATTATTATAGTAATAGTGATAATAGCTAATATCTATAATAGATGAACATTAAATTAACTCTTCTTTAAAAATAACATACTTTTCCTCATTATAGTATTAAAATAAAGCTCTCATTATGAAGTGCCGTGATTAATTCTGTTTGTATTCCATGCAAATAAAACCAAAACTCCTTACGTTCATAACGGCTGCTCGAGATTCTTTAACGTTGTTCTGATCTGCGCGTTTCTTTCTGTTTTTTCTGCGCAGTTGAAGTGCTCGAGCGAGTGTAATGAGCGGTCAGTCCGCAGTGCAGCCTCACTTCGTGTTTACAGCGCTGTAAAATGACACCGAAATAAAACTTCATTTCTTCTTCTTTCTATCTGCCCTCTCTCTCTCTCTCTCTCTCTCTCTTTCTCTCTCTCTCTCTCTCTCTCTCTCTCTCGCGAGCGGCCTGTTTGAAGCGCTGTTTAACTTCGTTTAGCCGCTCGAGCTACGCCGTCCTGCGTTTTTAATGATACACGCGGAGATTTACAGCGTCTCAAACTCCGGAGCTCGAGCTCGGTTCAGCGCGCGTTCCGCCAGCTCAATCACCGGCTACAACAGCGAACTCTACTGCGCCCCGGACGCGCGCGCGCCTGGAGCTTTCTTATGATCATTCACAGCAGTTTAGCGGCAGTAATGGCCGAGTGCGTGTCCTTTCCTCGCCCTCGTTTCGAGCTCGTGCCGGAGAGCCAGCAGCTCGGCGCAGTCTCACTCACCCTCAGCTGCTCTCGCCGCGCTGAACTCCTTCAGCTTCTCCTTCTCCAGCTCGACGTGCTCCTTGAACAGATGCACCGGGCAGTGGTTGCTGGCCTCAGTAATGTCCTGCAGGTTGCTCTCCGAGTTGCCCAGCTCCCTGGCCCTGGTCAAGCCGCTCTCCAGCACCTCCCGGTACGTGATGCTCTCCTTGCTGCTCTCCTTGGCTTTCTGGTCGAAGGACTTGGACACGAACGCCGTGAGCTCCTCCATGGCTGGAGAGTGGCTGCTCATCCGCGGATTCCACTTTAAAGCGGCCCTGTAGCGCGCGGGGTGGGGTGGGGTTTAGGGGTGGGAGTGTGTGTGTGTATGTGTGTGTATGTATGTGTATGTGAGTGTGTGTGTAGGAGCTTTAGCTCACACACTCCGGCTCTTCTGCCTGTGTTTTGCACATGTGAGTATTTATAGAGGGCGGCCCGGCCCGGCCCAACCCCCCACCCCAGCCCCGCAGCCCCCCAGCCCCGCGTCCCGGGCAATTACAGGCGCCTCCGCGTTCAACTTTCAGCAGCTTCTGCTCACATCAGTGCAGCAGCGGAGCTCACACGAGCTCACATCATCAACACACACACACACGCGCGTGCATGCACACGGTGCGCGCGGGCTTCATTCCCGCAATTAACTGTTAGGAATTAGCGCCAGCGCTTTTCTTCACCTCCTGCAGTGCGGACACTCTTCTGGACAGTTTTCGGGTTTTTTTTTATTATTTTTATTATCATTATTATTATATAATTATTGTTTTTTAAAGTTATTTTTAACAAACATTAGAAGATACTGGAGAATATTGGAGAATACAAAAGCAGCCTAATGTGAACAGATACAGCTCAGAGTTTTACACGCGTGGGACTTTGGAGGGTCCAGATTTAGTCATATTATGCGAACCACTAGGAATATTTTCTACATTTACATCGGTGTAGTTCGTTTTATGTATTTATGTAGACTACTAAACTGGAAATGTATTATTATTATTATTATTATTATTATTATTATTATTTACTTTTATTATCAGTTACTGTTATTATTATTACTACGTAATAGCTCTAGTGTGCGACTGCAGATATAATTTTAATTATATTATAAATAAACCGTCTATTTTCATCTCATTTCCAAATCACACAATCACACAGAAAGTTTTCAAATCTCAAAACTTTCCCCACCACCTTAATTTCTTTGTTTCTTTATTTTATTTATTTATTTTTCTGATTGTTTGTGTGTCACTATCAGTTTTTATTTTCCTCCTTATGGCTGAAATATTGCATCACGGCAGCGCGTTATTAGCGCTCCTCGTTTCTCTCATATTAAATCCGTTATTCTCTCGTTTTCCTGTAATTGTGTGATGATGCGAGCTGATCCGGGCGGTTAGCTCAGATGTCTGCGGTGTGTCTGAGCGGCCGGCTGCTCTCTGTGCTCAGTGATCAGAGTGTGAGAGCAGAGCTGAGATTCTCTCACTGATCACTGCTCTCTAATCGCTCTGCGCTCAGCTCTGCGGGGCGGCAGTGAAGGGGCTGGATGAAGAGCCCCTGTCCCCATGTGCATGTTGGGAAATCTCCATGCTGACGTGGTTTTGATGGGACTTTATTTAAGGCGCGCGCACAGACTTAAACATTCACAGCCTCCTGAGATTCAGCAATCATGGAGCTCCGCTCTGTGAGAAACTGGAGCTCAATTCAACCGCTCATATACTGCACTGAGTCTAGACTCATTCTGTAGAGCAGAGAGACACTGCACTGAGTCTAGACTCATTCTGTAGAGCAGAGAGACACTGCACTGAGTCTAGACTCATTCTGCAGGATTACAGTCACCAAAAACACACCCAGCGGAAGAAACAGCATAGCACCTGAAATGACGAATGGTTTTCATCGCTAGATGCCAAAATAATTCATAAATTTAGCCAGTTTAAATACAAACACTATCTAAGCAATCATTCTGACTCGTTAATGTTCATACAATACAATAGAATCAAATATATTGTTCTATGGATGATAATGGTAATAATAAATGGTTCATATATATGTGTGTATATATATATATGTATATACATATATATATATATATATATATATATATATATATATATATATATATATATATATATAACTATTTGATTTAACTCTGTTTCTGTGTGTATGTTTCTGTGTATTTGTGTACAGTGTATGAGGATTAATTAAACTGCAAAATCGATACCAATGTCTGATTTTCAGTTTCATTTTGATATATACTCCGTTTCTCAGCGTCGTTAGATGTTTATTATGTTTGTGCTCGTCAAAGTGGACGATGGAAACGGCTCTAACGGAGCTCCAGATCCTCACCCTCACAGAGACGAATCCTCCTTAAAGTGACACCAGTCCTGTTTAAAAGCTGCATCTCTCTCTCTCTCTCTCTCTCTCTCTCTCTCACTCTCTCTCGCTATTTGATTTTGCTCAGTAATTCGTATTTATAATTATATGTGTAGTGGTGTGTGAATGTTAGTGATGAACAGACGCGCTGCTCTGTTTTGCTGGTCTCAGGTTTGTTGTAACTTTTCTGTGTGTAGGACGGATTCAGATCTCATGGCCCCCTCCAATCAACAACACACACACACGCACACAACACACACAACACACACAATACATCAGCCATCATCTCTCACTGATCACACGCTCTGTCTCCTCAATCTGCTGCTGGTTTCGTCCCCTGCTCTCCCTGTATGACCTCTCTCTCTCTCTCTCTCTCTCTCTCTCTCTCTCTCTCTCTCTCTCTCTCTCTCTCTCTGTAAATCAGCACTGCGCTCATTGTTTAATCCCAATTAGGCTGTGAGGTCTGTGAGTGGAAGTGACCGAACTGAGGGCGGACAGTCTGATGGATTGCAGCCCATATTTGGAGCTGAAATAAATAAATAAGTCGTCAAGCAAAATGTCGATAGCAATTTCGAATGTGAAGCCGAAGCCGATGTGAGCATGAAAATTAAACCTGCGTCTTTTTTTCGATTACAGTGTGTTTCGTATGAAGCGGAGGAGATCATGAAACTTTCGTGATCTGGTGTGTGTGTGTGTGTGTGTGTGTGTGCGTGTGTGTGTGTCGTCGTGAAGGAACTTTCCGAAATAAACACAGTTTTAAAGGGATTTAAATGCAAGTTTTCACAAATATATATATATATATATATATATATATATATATATATATATATATATATATATATATTACATTTAATCACGTACATTTTTGTTTAATCTACTTTTCACTCTAGTTTTATTCTTTTCATTCACATTGAGTTCTTTAATTGTTCTTGTTCGCCGTTCATTTCTTTAGATTATCTGTTGTCTCGGAACCTGGACTGCTTTACTGTCGCTCACCTCTCACACTGAAGCTTTAGTTTTATTTGAAATAAAAAAGAAGCCCAAAAGAGAAGAAAAATGCCAAACAAACCCCAAAAAATTGTATTGTCCAGGTAAAATTTTGTCCCCCCCAAAGGCACAAACCATGTAAATGCCCCCTCAAATGTACCACATGGTCCTTAAAGGGGACCCACTGATTTTTCTATATTTCTGCAAAACTAAACCACTGAGATGAACTGAAAGTTACTCAGAATGGTTTGATGTAAATGCTCTGTTTTAAATAGTTACTGCTATAGAGTTATTCACAGTGGTGGTTATAGGAACCAGGTGTCTGAAGAGTTTAATGCCTCTAAAAGTTATATTACTGACACTTAGTACATTAAATGGTTATGAAAATACTGCTTAAACTATTGTATCATGTTTTATGATTGTTTTATGAAAAGCTTTTGTTCTGAAATGTATTCTTAAAATAGATTCATAGTGGAGAGATACATGCAGGGTGTTATAAGGAAAAATAGTTCCCAAAGAAAACATACTTTTTTCCTCATTTAACACTATTTTACCATCATAAAATCTCAGAAGACTTGTGTAGGTTCACTGGTGGTTTTGGATAGTAAATAAAATGGCTGTGTTGTGATGTCTAGTTTCTATCACAATCACTGTAAAGAAATCCGTGTCAGTTTCTTTACAATGAACCATTTTGCATCAAACCACTAAGACTTTTTTATATGTCAACCACTGAATTATGTAGTTAATTTGAGAAAATAGGTGGGATTCTCCTTTTAGGTCCAATTGTGTATTTTAAATGAGTTTTACAGGTACTCTGCATTAACTTCCCCAAGATGAAAGTGCATAATTATAGCTATTCATAACTTTTTTACAATAGAAAATAAAATACAAAACCCAGAGTCAGTGCAACTTAAAAAAATATATAACTGCATCGGAATATGGTACAATTAAAGATAATGAGTTATGTACTCTTGAGGCTACCACCCCAGTGTTTGTACCCTGAGAGCTGCAGTTCTCCTGCAGTTCTCTAATAAAGTCGATAGCTTTTTTAGCACTTTTAATTGTATTTGAGTCATCACCTCATTATATAATGAAATAATCAATACTTTTAGTTGAGAATAGTTCCTGTAGGATCCAGAGTTCTGTATGTTCTACATGTTAAATGGTGGTTGTTATTCATGAGATTCACTGTAATGTTGTGTCTCCTGCTTCTTCTTGAAGCTCTGCCTCTCCTGCAGAGTGCTGAACACCAAATTCCTGCAACTGCTCTGAATTATTCCTGATATTTTACTCCGTCAGTTGGCAGTGATAGCGTGCATTCCAGTCATGTAAAATGTAAATGTAATTATATCTAAACCGCTGGTGTTATGATGAAGCTCTTGTAGTTTTGATTAGCATGTTATGAGCAAACAAGTAGCTTTATTTAAGTTAGATGCTGTTTTGCAGGAGGCCTGGCCGTGCGGTCTACTTGGTGTGCAGTAAAAGCTCCGATGTAACTCTGTGTCTGTGGAAAGGACATGTTGGCAGCGGGCCATTTAATCTTTCAGCTGGTGATCCGTCCCTGCTTCAGGCTCTGGATCAGTGCACTGTGACTTTAAGCCAGCGCTCGTTCTTGCTGGGGTTGGTGGGGAAGGGGAGAGTCAAGGCTTTTTTTTTCCTGCAGGGACTCAGGCTAACCCTGACAAATGCCAAAACACCGTTTGAACTTGCTCACTCATTCAGATTAATCCCTTATGTGCGCAAGATGAATGCTTATAAATTCATTTTTAAAATTGTGGCTATTTGGCATGTTGTTTTCAAAGACGTTTTTGTCCACACTAATTAGTCCAGGATTTAAAGTGCCACTTAAGAGCAGGGGCCTCCCAGAAGGCCAGACATTCTTTTTTATGGTGTTATGCATGGACACACACTCGTAAGATAATGATCAGCAGTTGACTCCTGCAGTTTTCCCCCCAGAATGAATAGTTTTGGTTA